GATATGGAAACAAATTCAAGCCTCTACTTCTTATATCTTCTGAAATCATTCAGAAGGACGGGCGGAGAGACAAACGGACAGGGCCAAATCGACTCAGCTCGTCGCCCTGATCAAAAATATATATACTTTATGGGGTCTGCCACGCCTCATTCTGCCTGTAACATACATTTCAACAAAACCATTATACCCTGATTTCTCAAGCAAGTCGCTCCGAAAGCACTAAGCTACCAGCGGTGGTTAGGCTTCGTAATGCTTTCCCTAGAAGTTTGCGGCAAGCTACGGCACATCTCAAGTCACCTCTGCAAGTCCTTTCCGCACAGTGTACTGCACGGTGTAAGCATCATAGTGCTTGTTTCGCCATATTTGACGTGTTACTAGTTTGATCAATTTAAGGCACAAATTATATTTGGCTGTCCCATAAGAATGGGTGCTATTAAAGCTAGAGACTTGAAATTTGGAAGACATACTCGTGTATATCTGGTAAATTGGAAAATGCCTTTTCCGATATACCAGAAATCATATTAATTGAAGAGCAAGAAAGCTGAAATTTGGAATGCAGAATCGCATCGACCACCCATCTACGCCCATCCCGAATATATCTACGCCCATTGGGGGCGTGGCAAATCGGTTAAAATTGTATCTCCTCGAGTTTTAAACTTAGAACGCTGACATTTCGCACGTAGGATAATGTTATGATTCTATAAAGATAAATGAAATGAAACAAGTAAGAAGGCTCCAGTCGAGACTGCTCGACTAGGAGATACCCTGAACCCTCCAAGCTGATATTCTAATTGTTCTGGACTTCTTTTATGCACACATACATACACATGCACTTATAAGCACGCGCTCTGCTAACTGCGCAGTAAGCAGCGGCTGCGCTTGGGCTGCGCTGCAATGTGGGCAATATTATGAGAATTTATTTATTGAATAATTTCTTTTGTAGATATACAATCTTAATGCAACTTTCAGAGCGTAATCATATGGTTAAATTGTGTGTACATTCCAAAGCACAAGTCTCTAGTAATTGGGGGCGATGGGGGCGTGGTATCCAAAATCTGTAAACTACAAAATCGTTGTATGTATTAACTTTATATACAATGCAAATTTGAAGTCTCCAGGTCTAAAAGTGTTCAAAGTAGGCTGAAAAAACCAAGTCGATTTTTCGATTATTCTCGATAAAAAAGTTATCGGACGAGTTATCTAAAAAATATGATAAACTTGTACTGCCTATGGTATATACGAGTATGCATGCCAAATTTCAGCTCTCTAGCTCTTATATCTTCTGAAGATCCTTTTGCTCATACGGACGGAGGGAGAGAGAGACGGACGGACGGACAGACGGACAGGGCTATATCGACTCAGCTCATCCTGATCAAGAATATATATATTTTATGGGGTCTGCGATGATTCCTTCTGCCTGTTACATACTTTTCACAAAACCATTATACCCTGATTTCCCATTTTCAATGGGCTCAGGGTATAAAAATAAATTTAAAATTATATGTGGACGCCTATTAGAAGCGTGGCAAATCGGACCTGAAGATATAGGGATTTTTTGTATTCTGCTATATGTTGCACACTATTAATGCTAGAGACCTCAAATTTGGTATATATACTCGGGCTGACCTCCCAAGACCCAAAAAGACTTTGATTTGGATAATTTGCAAATAATGCAATTTTCAACAAATTTCTACCGCATTTCGACATATTGTTGAACAAATAATGACAAAAGGTCTTTTCTAACTTATTTGGCCATCCAAAATGCATTATTGCTTTATGCATTGAATTTTTCTAAACAAGACACCCGCTTAATTTCATATGTATTTTCTTCCAAGCCCATATCTCCCTGAAGATATACCCACTACCTAAAGACTCTTGGAGATAGATTAATGTTGTTGAAGCTTGCCTTTAACGAATTGCAGCCCGTGAATAGGACGAAATCATTGCCAAGCAAGTAATGGCGAAAATGCTTCACTGCATTAAAAACTGCTAAAGTCTCCAACTCGTAAGAGTGATACTTGAACTCAGCAAGAGAAGTTCTTTAGCTAAAATACTCGACCACATGCCGCTTATTATCTTATTTTGTGCAGTAGAATTGCACCGTACGTGGATACTACACTACTGGGATCTGTATGCAATTCGAAAGATTGTTGAGGGTCGAATATAGTTAAAATTGATATGACTGGTCGTCTTATTTCTTCGTATTGTTCATTCCATACAAATACATTATTATTAGTGAGAAGTTGAAACAGAGGCTTCATTATTGCTGAAAACTTTAGAATAAATTGACGAAAATAGGCAAGTCCTATAAACTGTCTTACTTGTGTAACTGATTGCGTTGGTGGTAATTCCACAAGTGCTGCTATCTGTCGTTCATTGGGCCTAATTGTCCACCCGAGATCTCATAACCTAGGTAGGCAAATATCTAAAACTGTTTGCATCTTCTCTTGTCTGTGCAATAATAAAAATATCGGCAATATAAAAGATAATGTATGAATAAGATAGGTCACCTAATGCCCTAATTACTGCACGTTGAAACACTGACGGAGCATTCTTTAATCCGAATGGCATCACCAAAAACTCGTACTGCCCTTCCGGCGCCTCGAAGGCTATTCACTTTACTGAGTCTGGATGTATGGGTATTTCATAGAATTCGCTTTGCCATATCTAAACAAGAAAAGTATACTGCACGCTTTAGTCTAGGAATCTGGTAATATCTCTCCAAACATTGTACATTGTTTTAAGACTACCATGTTACATAATTGTTTCCCTGCAAACTTCTTGCCTACTGATTCTTTTACTAAAGTGCATTCGGCACCAGAATCGAAACAAAATGGCACAGAACAGAACAGAACAAAGAACCACAGAACAGACAACCACATGCTTCTCGTGTACGCTGGCATTTCCTTGTCTCTGTTTGCTGTTGGACAGGACTGCGAAGCGCTGCTTTCCAGAGCTCGACTAAGCGACATGACGAGATCGTTACCTTGGAGAGGACTATCTGCAATGATTAAGTCAACCGTCGTGCGCCAGGAGAAGTCATCCGCTCTCTGTTAATACGCATTATATTTTGGCAGACAAACTTGTTTTGCATTGGTTTGTGCCTTCAATGGATTGCTTACCTGTGCGACTATTTCCTTAAATCTCTTACTTGCTTCTCTAGGTCGGCGAAACGTGTGTCGACATTAGTGTTAGGCTGGACCAATCCCACTTCTGATGTCGGGTCTTCAGTAATATTTTCCCAATTCGCTATTTCACCATCTGATGAAATCGGCGCCACATTTGTAACGGCCTTGCCGCCGTTTTGTTTATAGCGTTGGAGCTTCGTGAATTACGTGTGCGTGCGTTCATCTCGGCTATTGTATCTCAACTGCTCTGGAGCCGTCTTCATATGGTAATTCTACTCGTTGCCACTTCCCAACATTACGTGCACAGACTACGGTCAGCAATTAGGGAGTTTAATAACCCAAAATGCCACTCAAAGCATATAACTATCTGTATTGCCAATCGATATCTATATTCAAATAACTCTCCGACAAGTACATGATCGATACTTTTCATTCGATATCGTATCCCTAGATATGAGCATTTTGATATTTATCCGTATGAATACAAGCCAGTTCCAAGCAAGTAAATCTTGAATTTTAAAATCGGATTTTTCCTGTAAATTTACGAATAACCTGAACCCATTAAAAATGGGAAAAAAGGGTTTAATGGTTTTGTTAAAAGTATGTAACAGGCAGAAGGAGGCGTGGTAGGCCCCACTGTAGTATATTGTATGTCATATAAGCATATGCTCACAGTATTGTAGTGTATACAATATATGAAGTTGACATATGCCCAAAATATAAGTAAGAGTATCATGCTCACAACATAGCAACACTTTGTTGCTTTACTTATATTATAATAGCTATACATAAGCGCCGTAATATGATCGGTCACTTATGTATAGACTGGCCTGCAGCGTGGGATCTGCAACGTAAGCATTGTTACGCTCTTGTCCACGCCGCAGCTTAAACGCTAAATGTATATGCCTTCTGCATATGCATACAAACATATATACACACACATACAGCATGTTATATACTCCCATTCTGCCGCTGCTATAAGTGACAGAATTCTTTATGTAAACTTTATGTACTTTAGGCTAAGACTTTATTTGAATAAAATACGGAGAGCATTCGCTGCCCGACACTGAAATTGAACGGTTCTTTTCTTTTCTATAGTAGATATGGTTTTACACCACAATGTAAATATATTCTTGATTCGGCGATGAGCTGGTTCGATTTAGCTCTGTATGTCTGTCCGTCCGTCCATCCGTCCGTATGTATGAAAGCGTCGATCTCAGAAGATATAAGAGCTAGAGACTTCAAATTATCTTTAAATGTCCGTATTTACAGCGCGGATATCGCCTTTATCACTAAAAATCGATAAATCATCCCAATCTTTTTTTATCGATAAAAAACTTTATCGAAAATCAGTTATAAAATTATATCTCCTACATCTTTAAAGCTAGAGACTAGAGTCCAAATTTTAAATGTATGCTTATATGCATTTTATATAATTTCGGTTTTTGTCAGAATTTACCCCCCACCTCTAATTAACCCTCTCACCTACACCTTTGTATCTTGTATTCAAATATCTTGTATTTCAAATACTAGAGATCTGATTAAGTTCTCATAGTAAGCGCACACTGCAGCCCATGCGTGTTTATGCGTGGGTGCTTGCATGTGTGCGTGTGTGCGTGTTTCTTGTGTAAGCAGAAAGACGCTAAAATAATTGAAAGAGCTATTGCTTGAAGGGTTCAGGGGATCTCGTAGTCGAGCAGTCTCCACTAGAGCTTTCTTACTTGTTTTATTATTGCGTTATGTATACGTAAGCGGAAATCATTTTGTATAAGTATAATTTATAATTTGTAAGTATAATTTACAGGGCTTTTAAGTGCTTTTTATGTCCTTGCAGTATAATTAATTAATATATTAACAAACATTTTATTTCAGTTCAAGGTTTTTTCGACTTGTTCAGACTACCTTTACAGCAATATAACAAGGACGGAAGATTCATTCGTGGCTTTCAACTGGGCGCACAAAGCTTTAGTGCCCGAACTGCATTTGCTGCACTTGAGATAACAACAAGGTTAATTCAGCTACTTCAGGTAAATTCAAATGAACTTTGCCATCAAAAATCGGGTCGAATAATTACAATAAATTACTTATATAACAAGTAAGAAGACTCTAGTCGAGACTACTCGACTAGGAGATACCCTGAACCCTCCAATCTGATATTCTAAATAGAAATTGAATAGAGGTGGGCACGAGCCGGGCTTTTATCGGGTACCCGTAGGTATGGGCTGAAAAATCGGGTTTCGGGATGGGTGCGGGCGGGTTTCGGGTTACGCCGCTCAACCCGTTTTACCCAAAAAATCGTATTTCAGAGACCGTCAAAAGCATGATGGTTGAAATTTATGATATGCAAAATGATTTGAATCTTGAATTTCTAGAGTTTTTGGACAAAAATCAATCAAAAACAAGTAAGAAAGCTCTAGTCGAGACTACTCGACTACGAGATCCCCTGACCCCTGGGAGTAATAGCTATTTCAATAATTTTTCGCGTCTTTCAGCTTACACAAGAAACACGCATATACACACACACACACACACACACGCACACACGCACGCACACACAGGCATAAATACACACACATACTTACACACACACATACACAAACACACACACTCACACACACACATACACAATTACATACATAGGTTCGAGTTGCGTTTTCACGGAGTGCGGTCGATGTCATCGTGGTCCATCGTAGACAATAGCTTGAACTGTGTTTTCCCCTGTGAAAGTGGAAAGAACTGAAGTCAACGTGTTTGCTGTGGGCGCGGCGTACCCAGCGACCTCAAAAAACTACCAGAGACTTACTGCGCGGCGGTTCGTGGAATTCCCAAGCGGTATAATTCGGTGGTGCAAGAGAGGGGGGGCGATAGCGTCAGTGTTTTGGCGTCAGGGCTTCTTTCCTTTCCTTGTCTTTTGTGGGCGCGTAAATTTTGTTACTTTAGGCGTCACACTTGCGCAATAAGAAAAATCAGGTGCATTCACTCTAACAGCTGTTAGTAGTGCTGGAAATTGCATCGAGCAATCAGCTGCTCACTAACCTTGGTGAGTTGCTAAGCCTTAGCAAAGACAGCAACCTAGCTGCTGGAGTGAAGTAGCAGTTATTAAAAGTAGTGCATACTTTCGGGCTCTCGCTTTAGTCAAGTTGAGTTTAAGTGATCGCGGGTTGTAAACTCAGATTATTTTAGTAGCCATTGCCCACTACAGGCTTCACGCCGTTGTAGTCGGAGCAGAAATGGATGCCATGATGGAGGACGAGCTGCAAGCTTTTGCGCGTCGTTCCTCGTTGCAGCGATCGCCGCAGCAACAACAGAGGGTGTTGGCGCAGCCGTCGACTTCTAACCAGGCTCCAGTGGCTGAGTGCCAGGCACCCAAGTCACTAAAAGAAGCGTTAGCTCAAATAGGAGCTACACTAGAGGGTCTGTCTGCCTTATTTGGGGGTCAGCGGCATATAAATGCCTTAATGAGAGAGGAGCTGGCTAGGCTGGTCAGCCTTCACAAGACGGCCGAAGCGTTCTGCAACCGTTCGGTTAAAAACTGCGAGGTGCAGACCACGCCACTCAAAGTAGGCGAAAACGTTAAGGCAGCGAGCATTAGTGCTACAGTAGGTAGCAATACTCCCAAGCGGTCGAGGGAAGTTGCCTCCGAACAGAGGAAAACTCCCTCAAAAAAGCCGAGGCCCAATAGAAGTGCAGCGAACCCAAAAGAACCAATGGCTCTACGGGCTACAGCTGAATCTGAAACTTCAAACCAGGCCGCCCGACAGACAAACCAGAGCAGCTGGACAGTCGTCAAAGGGCGAAAGCCTATGCAAAAACGTCCCAGGACTGACGCGATTGCGATTTCAGGCGTAGGGGGTTGCAGCTACGCGGACATGCTTCGTGTAGTTAAAAACGACCCAAATTTGAAGCATCTGAGCAGCGACGTTCAAGGCATTAGGAAGACAGCTAAGGGGGACCTTTTACTGCAACTGAGTAGGAAGCCGGAGCATAGCGCTGAGGCTCTGCACGAAGCTGTAGGCAAGGCCTTGGGAGACCGAGCGGTAGTTAAAACACTTACCGAATCGGCGCAAGTTGAGATTCGCGATTTAGATGAGTTAGCGACCAAAGAGGAGATCTTGGAGGCAATTAGGGTGGAGTTGAAGGATAGCTCACTCCCCATTGAGGCTATCAAATCGCTTCGGCCAGCTTTTGGTGGACAGCAAAGAGCTACGGTTGCTCTTCCAATTGGGAAAGCTAAAACTCTGCTCGAGCTGTCCAAAATTAGAATAGGATGGGTAGTTTGCCGTATCCGAGCCGTGGAGCAGCCTAAACGCTGTTTCAAGTGCCTCGATTACGGTCATATGGCAGCAAACTGCGGCAGTGACTGTGACTTAAAGGGCGCCTGTTTCAGGTGTGGAGAAATGGGTCACAGTGCCAAAGCATGCACCAAGCCACCAAAATGTAGCCTCTGCATCCGGAAAGGTGAAAAGCAGACGGACCATTCAGCAGGCAGCTTCAAGTGCCCATCTTACCGTGAAGCTGCTCGTAAAATGAAATGTTAAGGTTTTTGCAGCTTAACTTAAATCATTGTGTTGCTGCCCAAGATCTTCTAGAGCAGACCATTAGGGAAAAATGTATAGATGTAGCTTTTCTCAGTGAGCCTCACCACTGTAGAACCAGCTGCCCTAGGACATGGTCAACAGACGTTAATGGCAAAGCTGCGTTGTGGGTATGCGGCAACTCAACGAACGTACTTTCGAATGTTAAGTCATTCAATGGGTTCGTACGTGGCCGATATGGTAGCTTGTGGCTTTACAGTTGCTATCTGGCCCCCAGCATGCAGCTCAGTGAATTCACGACGGTGCTCGACGAGCTTGCCGAGGATGCTAGGGGTCGGAAGGCCATTATAGCTGGAGATTTTAACTCCTGGGCGCTAGAATGGGGTAGCCCAACAACAAATGCCAGAGGTCGTATCCTACTGGAGATCTTCGCGACACTAGATGTTGCACTGCTCAACACTGGCCATGAGTACACCTTCAGTCGGGCGGGATACGGGTCTGTTATCGACATTACTTTTGTCACTTCATCCCTCTTTCGGGGAGCAACATGGAGCCATTGCGATAGCTATACAGGCAGCGATCATACGGCACTTCTGTTCACAATAGGTGAGCCACCTGCCAGGGCGTCAACATTGTGGAGGGAGTCGTATCGGCTAGATACTTTTGATCCCGCGGTCTTTTCAGAGGCCATTCAGTCTCTGGGTACAATTGGTAATGCTGAGGCCAGAGCATGCCAAATGGTAGCCCAAATACAGAGTGCCTGCAATAGCAGCATGTTACGCCGCAAGCAGTTCACGCGACAACATGAGCCTACGTATTGGTGGAATACGCAAATAGGTGACATTCGTCGCAAATGCATCCAGGCGAGAAGAAGCTACCAACGGGCTCGCGGTAGGCCAACGTTTCTTGAGAAACAGTTAGCTTACCAGGCAGCTAGAAGACAGCTGAAGAAGGCCATTCGGGCAAGCAAAAGAGAATGTTTTTTACAGTTGTGCGACTCAGCCGAATATGACCCTTGGGGCAGGGCATATAAGATAGTAGTTAAAAGACTATACGCAGGTAGACAGGTGCAGCCTACGGATCGTCTGGAGCTTAAATCGATTTTGGAAACACTCTTTCCAGAAAGTTTAAGCTCCATTCACGCCCCTGAGTCCGAGTCTGCTGATCAGGGCTCAACGAGCACTGAAATTGCTGAAATTGTTTTAGTTACAGAGGAAGAAATATCAGTAGTTCTCCGAGGTCTTAGAACCAACACAGCTCCGGGGCCGGACGGGATCCCAAATCGTGCGCTAAAGCTAGCCCTCGCCTTGCACCCAAGTACGTTCGCCGAATTATTTAACGAATGCCTGATCCAAGAGACGTTCCCGGCAAAATGGAAAGCCCAGAATCTGGTATTGCTACCCAAGGCTGGCAAACCACCAGATGAGCCATCTTCGTACAGACCGATCTGTCTCTTAGACACCATGGGAAAGGTGTTTGAGAAACTGATCTGCTCTAGGCTGGAGACTGCGATTGCAAGCGCCGGAGGCCTGTCACCAAACCAATTTGGATTCCGGAAGGCCCGGTCAACAACGGACGCGCTTAACAAAGTTGTTGGTCTGGCCACTTCCGCTATTCAAGGCACCAGATGGAGGCACGGGACGAAGGGAATACTGTATCATCGCGACCCTGGATGTAAGGAATGCCTTCAACACAGCTAGTTGGGATATGATACTGAATGCGCTGTCACAATATAATATCCCTAAATATCTAAGAGAGATAATAAAGAGCTACTTCAGAGGAAGAACACTGGTATACAACACGAGTGAGGGTCCCCAAACTCATACAGTGTCAGCTGGAGTACCCCAAGGCTCAGTGCTGGGGCCTCTCCTATGGAACATCATGTACGACGGCGTACTGCGCTTGGAACTACCAGCAGGCCTTTGCTGATGATGTAGCTGTCGTAGCCATAGGAAAGGAGCTCAAAGATACAGAGGATATGTGCAGCGAAAGTATCAATCGCATACGAAGCTGGTTGACAGGAGCTGGGCTCGAGCTAGCGGCTCACAAGACCGAAGTTGTACTGGTCAGCAGTCGCAAAAGAGTGGAAACTGCCAATATAAAGATCGGCAGCGTCACCATTGCGTCAAAGTATCTTGGTGTCATGATAGACACAAGATTAACTTTCCGCGAGCACTTAGAATATGTGCATAAAAAGGCAGCTGATTCTTGTAGAGCTCTCTCGAGAATCATGCTTAACACGCGGGGACCTAAACAGCAACGACGTCTCCTCTTAATGAGCGTCATTAGGTCTGTCATCCTCTATGCTGCGCCAATATGGGCAAGAGCGATGGCAACGCCGAGCTACAGCCGAGGCATTTGCGCGATCTACAGGCTGAGCGCAATCAGAGTCAGCTGCGCTTTCAGGACTATCTCCGATGACGCGGCGCTCGTCATAGCCGGTATGGTGCCACTGGAGTATTTGGTCGCCGAAGCCGTGGAGCGGAATTCGC